AATACATCATATTCATTAACAGTATCTATGTATATTCAGAGTTTTGTGGGTGATGTCACTGTTCCTGCCACTCTTAAGACAGTGGTTCATATACTTGGACGTCATATTCTAATTGAAGATTAATCAGTGTGGGCTAGCAAATTTGGGATAAGCAGCAAGAATGTCCTCAAGCACCCCCGATTCATTGTAGTAATTACAAAGTTCATGATACAATAAGCCAGGTGGCCTGAAGTCTTTGACAGTGTCACATTCAGTAATATAGTGTTCAAGTGTGTGCTTTGAGTTTATCACAAAGACTACAGGATGAGTGTTCTGGTATGGGTACAGCGTTACTCACATGCCAAAGTTGCCAGATGCGTCTGTATGCTAGCTTAATTCTGGACACGGCTACATCACATTGTCTGGTTCTGTCCTTATGCTGGCCTTTGTACCTCCTCACAAATTTGTCATATTTACTAATGCTACAACCGCTATCTTCCCGTTTTATACGTGTCCGCATAGTTATGAAGTTATATTACTGCCCGCCCACACTCCCACAGTACTACCAAGAATTCAGTGGAGGATAGGGAAAAATTTGTCAATTGGATAACAATATTTTTTTAACGAACGCTTGTATACATAATGACATCGATGCCAACAGTTGCTAAATACTTCATTCATTCGAATTAATTTGCCTGAATTAACGATATGGCGATATATGCGGAGTTGGTAATAGACGAATAGTGGAATCTGGCATTCTCCACCGAGCCAAGGCCGACAGTGTCGTGTTGCCTGTGAGATAACGTTTCACGACCACAGTTATATATCCATAATTTTTATGTTGTTGGTGGACTGGCGTTTTACTCACCCTGTTACACGCTATAAGACCATTGTTGTTGAAGCGCAGAAATAACTTTTATAACAACAACAACACAGTCCGTTTTGGTTCTTGATTCCCTGGATAACTTAGCGTTGTCTCTCAAACATATGTATGGAGGAGTATATATCTTCTGGCATATAATTTATGAAACAAGCAAACAAAAATGGTCTCAGCACAATTCCTGTGGTACCTCACTTGCCACCGTGTCACGGGTACACGTGGTGGTTTCGTGTCATTAATTACCATGTACTACTGTCAGGAGAAGAAAGTTTCTGGCCCATTCTTGGACCTTCCCCGCATTCCGTTTCCCCCAATTTAATTTTCAGCCACACATGAGGTACACTATTGAATTCTTTAGCAAATTTGAGATATTTTGCTGTATATTGTATACAGGCATGGACACCCTTACCCCCAGGCAGACCTAACATCCCCAGAAAAGGTGCAACACAGAGTGACTTAAGATGTTTCCGGACAAGGCACAATATGGCAGATATTGAAACTTTCTAAATCTTGAAATGAAAGAAAAACATGAACCGGACATTTCTTTTGTGATATCACGTACCATCAACACGAGGGGCAACTACAAGCTCCTAAAGTTATCATGCAGAATGAACATAAGAAAATATTTCTTCACACAGAGGGTGATAGACCTATGGAATGAACCACCATCTCAAGCTGTGGAATCGAGAACAGTACTGGACTTCAAATAGCTCTTTTAATTCTTATGGCTTAAGGTTTCTGCTCGGAGTTTCAATTGTGTGTTTACAGTTCCCAATTTTCAGCATATTATTGATATTTATAATTTAATGAATGTACGGACACAGATGCACACACACACACACACACACTTACTTTAACATATTGACTTACAGTAATTAAACAATGAATACGTGTACACACAGGTGGTGACTGACGTGTGAAGTACTAACACAATCCAGCCAAGTTGAACTTCCAGAAGCTTGCAGCTGCAATACAACCCAAGTCCCAGTGTCAGCAACAGACGTCTCAGTATCGGTAACAGAGGTCCCAGTGTCAGCAACAGAAGTTTCAGTGTCAGAGAGTTACCGTGATGGGTCAGGGAGGAGAATGGAGGATCCCGGAGCTGTTGGCGATAAAGAGTGAAGGTCAGGAATTCACTGACGACCAGATCGCCTTCCTCGTACGTGCCATATGTGACAAGTCCATTATGGACGACTGCCAGTTAGGTGGTACAACATCATCCTGTAGGAAGTATTTCTTGTAGCTTAGATGGAAAGGCAGTACATTACAGGTATAAAAAATAATTATTTTCATTTAAGAGACAACTCTCGCCAGCTGAATGGAAAACTGGCTCAGCCATGTTGATAATGTTATTATCCACTATGTATTTTTATTTTTCTGTAGTAGTACCGAGTCAGTGTGGACAACCAACACCTAGAAGTTAGGCGATATAATGTGAACACTTCTGCAGATAGTTCTTGATTTTTCCGCATCACTTTATCTTGTGTATTTATCATGTTTCTTGAAAAATAATTTATAGTATTAAAATTGTTGATGAAACCTAACAAATTATAAGTTGGGGGTAATTGCAGAGCTAAAATTATAACAAAATTAAATTTTATCATCCAATTTATCAGTTCACTTATTTGTCAGCCGTTCGGGCAGTTGGTCTGTTGTCAAGTTTATTATCAGTTACAGTACAGAAACCGCAGTATCCGGATGAAACGCAGTGTGGTAACGTCATACTGGATAACACGCCCTTGATAATGTGGACTATATTTGTTGATTTATTTTTTTAAAAAAATAAGTTTAATATTTAGTATTTGATGGGTAATATGACATAAATAATATTATAAAAAATATCAATGATCTCACTCTAGTTCCGTCTTGATAAGAATTTGAAATTAATATCTGTATGTCAATCACTTTCGTCCGTCAAATACTAAAATTAAAAGGGAGAGTCAATTTAACCTAATTCCTTTTATAAGAAATAAGACATAGAGGGTATGACATTTTATTATATCGTATTCCTCTTCCAGCTGTTTACCGTGGAGACTGACACACATACAGTACAGTATATATCCTCGTTAAGACACAGACATGAACTACTACAAACCATTGCTTTGTCTCTGATACCTCCTCATATCACGACCCACAGTTTTGTTTCCTTTGTTATTTTCCTTTTTATTCTTCAGAAAGCCTACTGGCAATTCAGAGAGCCAACCCACCACCCAATACGAATGTTTCCTCAAATTCCAGGTTAAATTACCTTCAGAATGGTCACCAAGTTACACAGTAAATGGGATCTGTGTCAGTATAGCCTACATTTCCTTAACACGAACCACTTGAATATATATTACTTAATGGTCGGTTTGACATATACTGTGAAGTACTGTACACTCATCCACATACACACACACAAGGTCATTCACTGGACATTGTGAGAACATGGACGTAACGCAGCTGTGTGCATAGGGGTATAGAGACAGTTCAAACTACAACAGGAATGTTCTCAAAACAAACTCAATGTTCAGAGCCTGTAGGTACAGTCGAAAGATTGAAACCAGAGTTATGTTTTACGACCTAGGATCATAACCTAGTCTTTATAGACTGATACACTTTTACGCAGTTAACCAAGCCTGAAGGTAGATGTGTGTAATAACTAATGTTAAGTAATATATTTTATACATTATACTAACTGAAAACCTAACATGCTTTTTATCTATTTCCCCCAGTTGTGTCTCCCTATCGGCCACCCCCTATTTCCTGCTAGTCAGCTACCCTCACTCCCTGAATCGCGATCAATGGTTGAAATGACTCCAGCTCATCCTCCTCCACCAGTCTCTCAACACTACCTCTCTCCTCCACTAGATTCCCCATTAAGTTCGAGGCGTAACTTAGCTTACTAACAGCTAACTTTTCATTGGCTAATTCTATACTCGGGGCTTTGGCTAATTATTCGTTGCTCGACTTATAGTTGGCCATTAGTTCAATACACTGCATAACTATAAACATTCCTACGGTCTGGCTAAGACACTGGTGTATGTTCTTCACGCTACTATTATAAATTGACAGTTCTCAGCCTTTTTTTTACAGTGGACAGGAGCTAGTTTATTGTGCACCCCATACTTATCCTATGAGCGGGAGCGTAAACAGGATTACAGTACAGATGTTAAAAGTGTTTATCAGACCACTGTCCCTGTGGTAGAGAATACAATGTTGGGGCTTGTTACAGAGTACTCGTATTTCCAGGTTATCGTTTGTTTAGCTCTGTACATAGAAGTTTACTTAGCAACTAGATGCGAAATGTGGATCAGAATAAACGTTGCAGGATATGGGACTTAGTAGAGCTTTATAATGTGATGGATAGTGGCACTGTAGAAGCTGGAGTCGGTAAGTTGCATTTGATTGGTACAGAATTAAATGGAAGCATTATGTTAAGTTGATCTATATACTTTACTGTAGTTATTTTATGTTTCTGGTAAAGCGTTACTGAACAGCTGGTATTGAAGCCCAAAAGGTTTTAAAGAATCCAATACCTTGTTGTAGGAGAGTCGACTGTATTTATACTTAATTACTATTTGGTTTCCTATTTTATTGTATAAAACTATGTGGTTTTTCCTTCGATTATCCGACTGTCTGGCATATCCGACTCCACCTTCCCATATAAATCGGATAATCGAGGTTATACTTTATTATATTAATTTCTTAACAGGAGCCTTACTCATGGCGATTAAGGTGCGAGGGATGACAGACAGGGAGACGGTCGCTCTCACCATCGGCATGGGACTCAGTGAGATATAAGCACTTTATCTGGAGTCTGTTTTTTTTGTGTGTAGAATGAGCGTACGTGTGTGTGTGTGAGAGATAGAATAGTGTAGTGCTAAAGCTGTGGTATAAATTAGTTCCACAACCACACATTCCTAAAAACAACCTGTCACCCAATATGTCTGGGCGTGAGAATCAGGGTGTAACGTAGTGTTATTTTCTAGTATTTTGATAGTATAATGTATTACTGCTTTTGATAATTATGGTCTTTATGTATTCTATGTTAATACACTGCCAGGTACAGTAAAATGACGTTAATGTTTGTTTTCCTTGGAAGGTTCCGTGCTGTCGCCTAAGGATCGGTGTTGGGGGACACACAAAATATGGGTGGGCGATAAGGTGTCATTGCGTTAACCCCAGCTCTGGCAGCTTGGGACTCAAGGTGCCCATGATAAGCGGCAGAGGGTCTGGCAACACTGGTGGCACCCTTGATAAGCTCGAAAGCATCCCAGGTGACTACTGTGGTGTAGCATTATAATAACAGGTAAATGTTTTAGATTTAACACAGCGTCACAGGAACTAAAACATGATAATTGAAGACTTCAGTTTGAATGGAATAATTTGAATAATTACTTTTGTAAACAGATGCAAGGAGAATCTTAACAGGACATTCCTCCATAACTATGTATTAAGAAATTTTATCAGGCTAAACAGTAATAAGTGATATATCTTTAATATGTTTAGTTTGGTCTATTTTGCATATCATCAGAATTCTGACATTGAACTTAAAACGATGATATTATAAAGATCCTTTCCAATCTTAAAGATGATGTTTTTTTTACGCAAGATAAGATACTGTACTGAAAATGTGGAACATCTCATTGTAGTAAAATAACCAACTGCTCACTGGTGATCAAATGCCTGATATATTTGATGTTCACTGTCAGCTGTACTGGCACCTTGTGAATGAACAATAAACACACCAATATACTGTTCAGTAACTGCACCGTAAGGCCAAAGAGTGGTTGTGTCCAACTTCTTAACGTGCTGATTTAAGTTGCGACATCTCGCTTCTGTGCCTCCTTAGCGACGAACAAAGTCCAACACTGCTCAGAGAGGAGAGCACATCTTTCAAAATCAACACTGGTCTTCGATAGAATCGCACCGGTTCTCACACCATGTGTGTGAAGGCATTATTTATATCTGGATAAGACCAATATAGTTAGGACGGAGAGAATCTACGACTGATACGGTAAAGGTAACAGTCAAAGAACTTTAAGACTTACTCTAAATCATTTGAGTTGTAACTAGTCTTCAAAATGTCGAACAGGGCGGTATCTTTAGCGTATCATTAATTTTTTTCATCTTAGCTTCTTTCAATTAAGATTTAAGAATATTTTAGTAAACCCCAGTTTAATACCCCTCTTCCTCTTTCTCTTCTATCTAACCTTTCATATTTTCCCACGGATATAAGTTCCTTTAGAATCCAGTTTTGTTTCTCGGGGTCTCATATCAGCCTTGAGCCTCTTCTCTACCATCAGGTTTCGGGTGAATCTAAGTGAGGAGGAGATACATGGCACTGGAGTGAGGCTGTGCTGCATCACTGGTCAGACCTCAAACATTGTGCCTGCCGACCGCGCATGTACGCCGTCAGGGACGTCACCTCCACGATCACGGCCTTTCCCGCTCATTGTGTGTACGATCATACAGTTTTTCATTACCCTCAACACGCTCTTGTCCGCTCTTATATTTTCAACTTTCAGTTCATTTGTATAAATATTTAATTTGCCATTCATTATCTTCAGTTTGTTTAAAGATTAATATGTAAGTGTGATTGATTACAAACTTCTGGTTGTCATCTTTATCGTGATAACTTTATCGGGAGAACTTTGTCCCATGATTTGAAAACTTCAGACGTTAAAATTCCTCAGATTTTTTCGATCTGTGATGTAATAATAAAGTACTATAGGCTGTTCTCGTATTCCATCGTCCTGTTTAGTAAGTTGGAAAGATTTGCGCTGCTCAATATTAAATGAAAATTATTTAACAAATATTTGTGGTGGAACAGCATCTATCGTACAAGAAGGCGGCGGAGTCGGTGATCGTTGGTAATCGACGTGAAATATGGTCGAGGTGCCTTTATGACGACGAAAGAAGAGGCAAAGAAGCTGGGACACGAGCTGGTGACGGCGGGCCAAGGGTTTGGGCATGAAAGCCAGTGCCATCATTTCCAAAATGGATATTCTCCTCGGCAAGACAATAGGCAACTCTTCGAGGTCAGGAGGTCTGGATTGTATGCGAGGCCAGCCTCGAAGCCTCCAAGAGTTAGTAACACATTTAGGTAAGTGCATGTTGTATCACTCACCCTTTTAGCAGATTGTAAAGTTGGGAGGAAATAAAAATGGGTGTAATGAATGTTAGAGATTATATCAGACAGAAGGTAAATAAGTAGAAGTTTGATGTTTTATTCGGTAACAAGAGTCATTAGAAGTTTAGAACCCGAAGGTAATTGTTTGTTGATTGAGAGAAAGTAGTTAAGGTATACAATGCAGTATGTGGAAATACGTAGCCTCGTGAGAGCGTACAAGTTTTGAGTGCATGTATTGAAAGTACGTAAGGTTGTGTGTTACGTGTATAGTCTCTGGTTATAAATTTGATGTAGTATTAAGTATTTGTCTGCATTGGAGCTTGAGCTGGTGTGTGTGTGAGAGAAAGAGGGAGGAACTAGTATTGGCTTAGGGTATACCCGGGAATTTGAAAAGCTTGGTCGAAATTGAAATATTTTCCAACAAGATTTTCTGTTTATTCTGTGGCTTGCCTTGCCGGCAGGGAGCGGAGCTGCTGGTGAGCTCCGGAGTAGTGACGTCCGTGGAGGATGGCCGCGTCACAATGAACCGGGTCTCGCTGACGGCTCCGCCAGGGCAACTTTTTGTAAGATGCTCCAAAGCAGGTACTGTATTATAACTGTATTTATATATGTAAGATCTCCGTGGGTGACCTACTGTGTACAGTACATTATTGCCTTTATTGAGTGAATATTATCACTTAGCCGTACCCTGACCGTACGTTCATACTTAACGTCTTCCTGGCCTGAATTAATTTATGGATTACCATAAGTACATATATAAATTGTCTTTTGTGGTTACTGCTTCCAACGAAGGCACGTTGTTTTTCGTAAAGCAATTGATGTGACATTACGCTAGACATTGTGGCATTTGTGTGCGGGTCTGACACACACGGTGGTGGTGGACCCATTGTTCAACACGCCCGTATCAGCAGTTGTTGCAAAAGTTATATATTAATATTATTACTGTAATAAGATGCTTGTCAAACTTATATTACTTTCGTAGCCTATACTTATGCAATCTTTCGTTATGCCTGTTCAGTATAGTTTATTTGCTCAATGGCCATTGCATGTCATGTTGAATTAGTTCATTCATTCATTCACCCAGTTATGTTACTTTATCTTCATTGTGTGTGGTGCAGGGAGTGAGTGAGGAGGTGGCGAAATCATTGTGTGGAGACAAAAGGGACTACCACCACCTGCCGTGCGCCGCCCACACTACCCTCGTCCCGGCCTCCACCTCAGGTATGCTTCACTATGTCATCTTGTCACCTTAGAATTATTGAATTAATTAATTTAAGGTGGTATTATGTTTTAAACTGCGTCTATTGTTCTGCCAGTGCTGGTTGGTGTTTCTAGTTATGACTTCACCTTTAAAACTAACATTTGCAAAAAAATTACACATTTCTCTTACTGTTTGGCAAATATATATATATTCATTTACTGTGCTCCAGTTTTCAACATAAACCTTAAACATACAACACATTTTGAAGAAAGGAGCACTTTACCACTTAAAGCTTTGTGGTTGTGCACCCTGAGGCTTCATGACTGAGTGACTCAAACTAAGTTGATCGGGCTATAGTTCAGTTTATTTTCAGCTACTTTAACAAATTATTATTTTTTTAGGTTTATGATCCAACAAGGGTGCTCTAAGCAACTAAGTTAAGTCTGACTATTATCATAAGTCAGTTTAGTAATAGAGAGAAGGTTTTATTATCAGGAAGTCCTCGCGTGTGTGTGGGTATGTAAATGAAAGCAAATCCCATATCCAAGACTGTTAGAGAGTGGACACAGCAGAGGTGGTTCCCAGGATTGAACCGACCACCTTAGGACAGGAGGCTAGTGCTTTCGGTTCTCGGCCGCCGCACCTTTATTGTGTTTGTACGGTGTTATGTAATTGATTAATGAACGTGTTGCAGGAATGTTGGTGACATGGACGCCATGGCCCTGGCCAAGGTGAGCCTGGCGCTTGGGGCTGGCCGTAACCGTGTGGGTGAACCAATCAACTATGCTGTCGGCATCGTCCTGCATAAAGTAACCAACCCTTCTCCTTTTCCTTATAAAAATATCAACGCAATACTGATTTACAGTATATATAATAATAAGTGGAAATTATATATATATATTTGTCTTGAGGATAATCATCAATGGAGTGGTTTGGTTTAGTTGCAACAAGTGTATTTTTGCAGTAGGAGTGTCTTGGGCTGCATTATAAAAAGGGACTGTTTTTTTTCCCAGGTTGTGGGGGAGAGTGTGAAGGAAGGGAAGCTTGGGCGGAGTTGCACCACGACGGACCACTACCTGAGACTGTCCTTGCCAACACCCAGGCTGCTCTCATTATCAACCCCAATGCCACACTTTGAAGAAGTATCTCTGATTGCTGCCCGAGTTGTCTAGAGATGTCTTTAAATTACAGGACCTTATTGTAAGGCTCCATTTTATTTGACCGACTACTTTTGCTTCTCATCTCTCAGGAGAACCACTTTCTGCTTCTCCCACCTAATATCCTTACCAGTGAGAGAAAGTCTGACTGATAACCAGCAGGATATCTCAGCAGGGCGACAGGACAAGCTCTAGTAGACAAAAGTTGACGAAAGAATGCCAGTGTGACGCCACCTTAACTTTTTCTTGGTATTAAAGCCAACACATGGAAGTTTTTATGTTTAATAATGATAAAGTTAAGTTTTATATCCTTCAGACCGAAAATAAAATAGATTATACCGACAGTCGTAATTGCATGGGTGTAGCTGTGACCTTCAGGAGACATTATAGGACCGATATTTTGTCCTAGCCATTCAGTCTAGAAATATTGTATTGGTTGTTCATGTAGTATTGGGAGTTCATGTAGAACTGTTATCATACCAGCGTTAGTACAGCTTGAGTTAGGATAGAATTATGATGACCACTGGGCGCCTGACTCATGCATACGTTGATGAAAAATTGCCCATTAGTTTCGGCGTCGTTTGTCCAAGGTATAGCTTATTTTCCTACGGTATGATTTTAAATATTTTGTGAGACTTTGTCAGTGAATGTACAGTTGTGTAAACTGTGGTTATAGGTGTGTTGGGGTGAGTTATGGTGCTGTGTGGACTAAGTACTTTCAATGACTTAAAGTTTTAATCTAAAATTATTTTGCAATCTAATCTAAGTAAATAAATGGTGATTTTATTGCTAACTCATATTCTTATTACGTAAATTTAATTTGAGGTTACTTTTTAATTTGACTATTAACCTTTTCTCTCAGTGACAGTACTTTTACAGAAATGGCATTTTTAGTACCTTTGCATCAGGTACAGTAGATGACTGCGCTAAGATAGGTGGTGCTTATTTCAGATTCACGGTCCACCCTGCATTTATTGGTTGTTAAATGACCACCTTTTGTTTAGTATAGTTTGTATTAATCAATCACTCTGTAGCATGAACCAAAGAATGCTTTGTTCATTAATATACAACCAATGTATCATTTACCTGTAATCGGCAATAAAAAATAGTAATCTAATTTCTCAATTGAATGGAACCCAAATAGTTGTATGTAAAGTATCGCGCTTACTGTACTTTTGCTTTTGTATCAAAATATACCGTAAGCCCAGAAAAACTTAAAGAATTAATTTGCACATTCATAATTACAGTATTTACAAGATAATGAACTAAACAAAGGTGTTAGTCAAAGTCATCTTAAATGTTAACGAGGGAAGCCAAAATTGCAAGAGAATGCAGTTATCTCTTTCATCCACTCCCACAGGAAAGTAAGTAGTGACCGATCGCCCAAGCGGCTAACGAGCCGACCAGTGGTGAAGAGGATAAAAAAAAGTCTTGATTAGGTCCAATAGTACACAAACCTAAATTTGAGCATTTTCGGTGAACTCACGAGTAAGATGGTTGACGGATGGGCAATAATGTCTTAAGAGCCCCAAATTTTCCATTTTTATTGAACTCTGAGCTCAGTAAAAGAGTCCAACTCAAAATAAAAAAGAAAGAAAAGAAAAGATCTACGATGATGTCCGATGCCTGTTACAAAGCATATTTCTGTAGAGTTCCAGATCATTTATATACTACAACTACAATGTGGTGACCTTTGACCTCTGAAATCGTAAAAATGTGAAAAGGACCTGGTGAGTATATTGACAACGAACTGAATATCTTGGACCATAGTAAGAAAAAGGTAAATTAAGCAACTGCTAGTGGGTCTTATAATAAGGACGTTCACACACCTGAACGATCCGACCCCATATCACCGGCCCAGGAGTCGAAGGCCTTGTAGTGGATCCTTCCTACAAACGCCGTTTGTCGCTGAGTAGCCGACCCGCGAATTCCCCAGTGTATGACTCGTGGTCTAGGTCAACCAGCGCCGCCTTACATCACGGAGGTCAACTATTAAGCCACGCCTACCTCCGCTATATAAGACCTGACCTCGTGGTGACCTACTTCTACTCCACACCAACCAGCCAGCAACACCTCCTCCTCCTCCTGCCTGGCGGCCCTCGCTCCTGCCGGCGAGCATGGCGACCCACAAGGTGGTCCTCTGAGCATCCTCACCAACCAGCTCTCTCACATCACGTTTGTAACCACGCTGCCACTTCCCAGCACCGCTGCATTGTACATCCAATACAAGATGTATACAGAGCACATTGTGAGTTTCTTTCTCCATTCCATCCGAGTGTGAACTCAAACAACCGTACCCCACAACCTCACTACAGTGGTAACGCGCGTATCTCCTATTGTTATGTCAAGTGTTCGAGTTCTGTAATTGGCAAGATACCATGTGCTCTTTGCGACCCTTTTATGTGTAAATAAATAAATAAATAAACCGCGGTAATATTCTGATATCAACATCATGTTACAAGTATTAATGTACAATACAACATATAACTGGTGTTACTAAGAGGGTTCAGTGCCTACACTTGGCTCAGCCATGTTCTTATTGTCCACTCTGTATGTGTACTGTATCTGTATTTGTCTGGCTCAATAGTGTTTCAATAGCTGTGTTACCAAGGTGTGTTGTGTTAAACCCGGACCCCAGACATGACAGTGTTTGTTCCAACTATTGGTTGTCTCTACATATAACTTTCAATGTAACCATGTAAATGACAATTTACGGATATATTAATTGAAATATAATTTTTATAAGTTAAAGTAAGATACGTAATAGTGTAACAGCAATATTTTCTGCCCCTTCCCCCAAAATAAACATATATGGCCAAGCTCATCTCGTGAACACAACCGAACGCATTGTTGACAAGTTTAAACCACCAAGTTCAATGGTGGGTGAAGTGAAGTGGACTGTTGTCTTACAAGGCTACAATACTTATGCAGTACTGTGATATAGAAGCTTTAATTTAAACTGAATCCATAGACAGAATAACATTCTCCTACAAGGTATAGTAACATACAGGTAGAAGAAAACTGCTACTTTATTGTTTCTATGGGACTGCCAGTGGCTTATCTGTCGATTACAGTATTCTGATAGTTTTGTCTTGGGCAGCTTTGAAGCTGGTAGGCTGTTCCATAGAACTACAGCCCTCCTGTGTGAAAGATTGCAATACAGACAGTACTGCTAGACACACCGTGATCTGTAGTAAACAGTACATACCATTCAAATTGATCTAATAACCACGACTGTCACTCCCTTAGTGAAATGCTTTGTCAAATTGAAATATTCATATCAGATGTCAAAAATAACAACACCTCAAGGGTCCGACTAATTACCAATCCAACAACTGAAGTCAAATAATGGTCCTATGAATAAATCGGACTGCTAATCACTTTCGACTGGTATTTGTCACAAAGTCACAAAAATTGGAAAACTTACTTTAATCTGAGTTAATAGATCGCTGCATGTACTAACCTACCTAATTCGACTAGTATTTAGTCAGCTAAGTCACAAAATTGTAAAGAATTTGAGTTAATAGATAAAGTGCAATCTAACCTAACAACTCAGATTAAATTAGTTTACCAATTTTTGTGACTTATGACACCAAATAATAATCGAGAAGTGATTCACAGCCCGATTTATGCTTAAATCATTTGACTTCATTAAGTGCTACATTTGTAATTACTCGCCTCCCTGCACATGCACGCGATCTATTAACTCAGATTAAAAGTTTTCCAATTTTTGTGACTTTGTGACACCAAATACTAGTCGAGAAGTGATTAGCAGTCCGATTTATTCATGTAGGACCATTATTTGACTTCATTAGTGCTACATTTTTGCTACATTTGGGTAATTAGTGACCGCCAAGGGTTTGGTCGATACATAGATATGTAGATAATACTGACGAGAGTGAGGGCTATTAATCCACAAACACTGGCTTATGATCCCATAACTAGGACGGTGAATTTGTAGTACAGTACCCATCTTCAGCTAATAAATATTCCACAAACACATGCCAAATGAGCCTAAATGACATACAGTACTGTACCAGTGTTGGTTTTAAAGCATAAACTGTATGTTTAGGCTAAATGTCACAGCAAACCAGCCAGACAGGCTGTTTGGGGCTATTTTCCAGTCCATCTTTTTATGTGGTAATTATTTTTAGCACACCTCGATTTTTTCATGAGTTGTTTGATTTCTGATGTATTTTGTTCAGATCTGACCCTCATTTCCATGAAATGCGTGTTTTTTAAATAGATGCAAGTCATCCTTGATCAAAACACAATTTTCTATCAAAACAAGAGGCGAGGTCTGAACAAAATACATCAAAGTATTTCAGAAACCAAACATCTAGACCGCTAACTTTCACTAAATTAACCTAACGTAACTCCGCCTAACTTAACCTCACCTAACCCTAGTCGGAAGGAGCGGAGGCATGCAGTACATACCTCACAGCTCCAGACAGCTCATGTGGGACAAGAAATGGCGGCTGGAGATTTATTGATCTAATTTAAGTATTCACTTGTGTGATTTTTCTGAAAGAAACACGTTTCAAAGGCTTCAAGTGAGGAATGTATATATGAGGTGCTAAAATTCAAATGCTTTTATGATTTGAAGATGTGCTAAACCAAATAATAACCTTTTATGTAATAGAATTAATGATATAGTATAATAGTATTTATTTTATTATGCAATGAAAAAGACTGTGATGATATTTATGTACAAAAATTTAATGGTTGGTTAATGTTAGGCACCGCAAAGTAGCTGAAAACAGCCTGTCAGCTATTGCCATAACTGGTAATTTACTGAAAAAATGCATAAAAAATGGCAAGAAGACCAGTAACTTCTCCCTTGTCTGTTTCCAAAGTGACACTGGCCCAAGCATGAAAGCTTCATAATGGACCACTAGCGATTATTGTACATAGAACTGTAATGTTTTAACCCTTGGATACTAGGGGTCTCTGTGTTAAATAAAATTGTCTGGTAATGATAAAATATTAAAAGTGACATCCAGTACTGAAAGGGTTAGTAGAGATAGTATATTAATTCACCAAATGAGATAAATCAAACTACCGGAAACCACTTTATAAGTAATTCATAATAATTTTTTCTGTTGTGCTACTAGATTTGCAGTTTATGTATGAAAACAAAAGATTAAGAAATTTCCAAAGAAAACAAATTTTGGTAATGTAGTAAGTGGCAACTGTAGAATAGATTATTACTGTGTGTTTTATCATTAGGAACTTTCCATTATATTTGTGTTAATGTGTGAAATGCCAGTCTAGTGGGGAGGAGACTCTAGTTCTTCATAGTCTAACCCACATGATTTTCTTGAATAGAAATTTTAAGATTAATGTTGAACTATTTTTGTATAAGAGACGTAAGAGAACAGCAGTACAGTATAAAGAATCACCATGGATGATGATGCAACTCAAGATTGGCCCCACCACCAAAACTTCCATCTTGCAGGTAACCATTAGATTATATAGAAACCATCACCGAGAATACTAATTAAGTATTTCATGTCAGAAGAATAAATTGATTTTCACTGTCATATTTTCTGGTTATTATATACAGAACAGTGAAATAGACTACTGTAATTTAAATCTTAAATTTGCAAGCTGAACGCAATTTCCTCTGATCCCCAAAATACAGTATTTTTATGTATGTGATATTTAGTGTTTAGTAAAGCAGTTTTGGAACAGTTTATATTTATTTTTGCCTCTGGAATTGAACTAATTACAATAGTGTATATTGTGTTTAGACTTAAATCAGTTCATCTATAATTTGCAATATAATATTTCACGATTATTTCAAAATTAGTCTCTATTCTTAAATTTCATAGGCTAATTATGTTATGTAATTGTGTAGAGACATGTGAGAATGTGTGTAATTTTGAAAGTTAACAAAAGTTTGGAGGTGTAGGCTGGCAACATTTGAGAGTGGAGTGCAACATTAGCTAACTGAGGCAGTGTTCGCACAATGTAAACAAAGCAGCAGGATTTTAGGATGATGCAATAACTCATTTGCCTTTGTTCCGGGGTTGGTGGTTTGATTCTGGCGCCCCCAGTTCACCTGGTTGTAAATGGGTACCTTAGGTTATAACTTGGGAAGTGAAGGAGGTCCAT